CAGACAGACAGACAGACAGACAGACAGACAGACAGACAAATAGACAGACAGATAGATAGACAGACAGACAGACAAATAGACAGACAGATAGATAGACAGACAGACAGACAGACAAATAGATAGATAGATAGATAGACAGACAGACAGACAGACAAACAGATAGATAGATAGATAGATAGACAGACAGACAAATAGATAGACAGACAGACAGACAAATAGACAGACAGATAGATAGATAGACAGACTGTCTTCATATGTGTATTAAGAAGGTTAATACAAATAAGCAAGCCCAGCCCAGGTGACAAAAAGTTACGTAATGCATTACTTTCCATAAAAAGTAACTAAGCAATGCATTAGTTACTTTTTCATGGAGTAACACAGTAATGCATTACTTTTAAAAGTAACTTTACCCAAACACCGGTTATGTGTGTTGTTATGTTGGGTCCAGTGGTTTACTCTTGTTTTTCTCATTATAATGTAGGCTGACGAAAACACTGAACCACAAGCGCCTAGCACACTCAACCAAGTTCAGGATCAAGTCAATGATGTTAAAGTCATCCTCACAGACAACATCAACAAAGTCCTGGAGAGAGGAGAGCGGTTAGACGACCTGATCGGCATAACGGACGATCTGCAGGCCACGGTGAGCCTTTGAGACCCGTCAAATTGGTCAAAATGAGACCAACGTGTAACATTTCTTGACCGTGTTGATCTTGATAAGACCTCAAAAGAACGTTAAAATAACATGGTGCCAGATGATCAAACCAGTCACAAAATTAATATTTTTTTAATGATAACAATTATTTGTGTAATTATCTTGTCTAGGCTGACTCGTTTCAAAGGACGTCCACGCGTGTTGCCAGAAAGATGTGGTGGAGAAACACCAAGATGATGATTATAATTGGTGTGGTAGTGCTTGCCGTCATCATTTTAATCATCCTGTTAGCAACACAAGTCATTCCCACCTAAGACATCCCTTTCAATCGTCTGTATTCACTAGGAATTAATGACATTTTTTACTATGGATGTAACTGGATACATTTATGTATAGATAAATGACTATTTTTGTTATATTGACATTTCCTGTGATATTCTATATAAATCTGGGGCAAATATGACAGGGGTGTGTATATATGCAGCTTACACTTTACAGTAAGGCTCCATTAGTTCATGTATTAACTAACATGCACAAACAATGAACAATACGTTTCTTACAGCATTTATTAATCTTTGTCAACGTTAATGAAAATACAGTCGTTTATTGTTAGATCATCATTAGTGCATTAACTAATGTTAACAAGCACAACTTTTGATTTTAATAATGCATCAGTAAACGTTGAAATTAACATCAGCTAAAATGAATAAATGCTGTTGAAGTAGTGATCATTCTTAGTTCATGCTAACTAAAGTAGTTACCTAATGAGCCTTATTATAAAGTGGATTGTTTTCTGACAGTGACTCGTGACTCCTGGAAGTTTCTCATGCTTTAACCTCACTCTGTGCTCATGACACTGACTTTATACCTTCACAAAGTGCATAGTCTGGGCTGAATTTCTTTGCATCTTTCCGTTTAGACCCTTGCAATGTATCAGTCAGTAGTTGTTCTGTCAATAGTATTTATGACATGTGTTCTATGCAGGAAATACTGATTGGCATTTACTTGTATTGTAAAACTAATTGCATGGCAGACTGAAGCTTTTAAAAGGAACAGTTCACTTGTAACGCATTATATATTTTCATAAATATTTGTAACCAAAGTTAAAATGCATTATGTGAAAGTTTGATGTGTGTTTTAATGCATTACACTTTCTAAAGGTGTAACCATAAATAGATAAGTATTATAACTGAGGTTACAAATATTCATGAGATCAGATCATACAATGGTGCATTACCAGGCATAATTGATGCGTCGACTACTTTTATAGCACATTATAAACAAAGGCTTTAATTGTTACCAAAATCATTTTTACAGTGTGCTTGTAATTGATCATTTCCATTATAATGTCCCTTTAGGGACTGGAAATATAACGTAATACAAGTCAAACTGTGAATTTTTTGGTTATTTTAAAGCTGGACTGCAGCCCCTTATTAACCGTTATTATATTGAAAACAGCAGCATTTTTTGTTCCGCTGAGAAAAAAATAATAGGCATTTTGAATTGAAATGACATGGAGCGTAAATGATGACAGTCTTCGTTTTTGAGTGAGCTATGACTTTAATCTCTGAAGAAACAACAGGCCTGAGTTTCATACACTTTATTTTGTTGAATTTTCAAATGGTTTACATGACGCTGTTGCAAAATACTGCAATATGAAATGAATATTAAATGGCCTACACTCTGTACGCACTTGCAAGCAATAAATTAATAGACCAGAATAACAATTTCTAAATGATTTGGGCTCTCCATGGCTCATTGTACTCGACACATGAACGTATGAGAGCAACACAGCAGGGAATACGGTTATAAACGTACACAAGCTACAACAAATGAAACACAAAACCAAATATTCTGGACGTTCCCATTTGAAATCTTCTTTAGTGCGTGTCCTTCAAAGTAATTTCTGGTTCAAAAGAACTGGTGAATTCACTGGCGACCAAAGTGTAGATCAACTCCATTTTTAACAAGTCTGGCCCTCTTGTTTTCTCCTCTCAGGGTTGGCTTTCGATTCGCCCTTCCATCTGAAAAACAAAAAAGAAAATAACAGTTATGCTTCAGAAAGACGCAAACTCATAAAATGTAAAGGAATCCCAATTCTTTAATAATTTCAATAAGGAGACAAGACATGACTTATAGCAAATACAATAGTGTTAAATAAATAAAAAACTCGTGGAATCATAACATTTAATGCGAAACCTTGCATCGGTGGAAATTAAAAGACAAAAAGGAAAGCATTACAAGCATAACAATATGACCTTTCCAAGATTTCAAAAGGTTAAAAAAGAGAATCCGTTAGATGAAATTAACACGGTTTACAGGTGAAGCTTTTTCCACCGCTGTCAGTAGAGGATCACACAATACAAATATAAAAAAGCACTTCTCCAGCGCAGCGGCATCCAAGTACAAACCGGCTTTTAGCTCATGGACTACAGGATATTACAGCTACACGAGCTACAAGTAAAGAAAAGCAAGCATTACAGGTAAGATTAGATTAGAAGTGCATATTAACACTGGAAAGTCCAGAGAAAGCCGTATCCTTCAAAAAGTGAACGGTTAATTTTAATTCCGGCTCTCGTCTCATATTTTACCATTACTTGATGGCGCCTGGAAAAAATGGCATTACATTATAATATATTATTACATAAGACCAATCCCAAGAGGTTTTAAGAGGAAATAAAACATACACACAAAACAGAAGATAAAAGCTTGACGTGTCCTTTTTATGTTTTTGTTGCTGTAGTAGTTTTTACAATTCGTATACAGGATGTTGGAAGACCATACCAAATGGGAGCATTCGAGAGCGTACGCCTCTCGTACCCTGTCCGCATTGAGCGGGCCTGAGACAATCGGGAAGTCAGCTCATGGCCTGCAAGGAAGTCCCCGCTGGCAGGTACAAACAAGGTATATGTCAGAGTTAGGAGACAACATTCTTCGGCTTTCTTTCCTTGTAATTCCTTATTTTCTGGTACCCATTTAGCAGTACTGTACCTGTTAATTTTTACAGTTAAAAACAAAAACCAAAAATGGCAAGAAACAGCCAAAAGCCAGCTGTTACATTACTGCCAAAAGTCTCTATGTTACCACTACTGTAAAGCACTTCAGGGTGCTGTGAAACTTTAGAGAAAAACAAAAATTAAGCAACGTACATTACAAAAAAAAGTGTTTACAAATGGTGATTTAGAGACGCGTCGGCGTGAGCAACGCGCCAACATACCTGCACGTTTCCCGTTAATACGGCTTGTAACTGTTTTGATGGCCGCCTCATTATTACATAAGACCAATCCCAAGAGGTTTTAAGAGGAAATAAAACATACACACAAAACAGAAGATAAAAGCTTGACGTGTCCTTTTTATGTTTTTGTTGCTGTAGTAGTTTTTACAATTCGTATACAGGATGTTGGAAGACCATACCAAATGGGAGCATTCGAGAGCGTACGCCTCTCGTACCCTGTCCGCATTGAGCGGGCCTGAGACAATCGGGAAGTCAGCTCATGGCCTGCAAGGAAGTCCCCGCTGGCAGGTACAAACAAGGTATATGTCAGAGTTAGGAGACAACATTCTTCGGCTTTCTTTCCTTGTAATTCCTTATTTTCTGGTACCCATTTAGCAGTACTGTACCTGTTAATTTTTACAGTTAAAAACAAAACAAACCAAAAATGGCAAGAAACAGCCAAAAGCCAGCTGTTACATTACTGCCAAAAGTCTCTATGTTACCACTACTGTAAAGCACTTCAGGGTGCTGTGAAACTTTAGAGAAAAACAAAAATTAAGCAACGTACATTACAGTAAGATCGAATGGTGATTTAGAGACGCATCGGCGTGAGCAGCGCGCCAACATACCTGCACGTTTCCCGTTAATACGGCTTGTAACTGTTTTGATGGCCACCTCGCCTCGGGGATTTGCCGTAGCCGCTCTGCTGATCTAGAGTTAGGAGCACAAAACACAAACAACGCAGACATCTACGGTTAAACGTGCTGGCACACGGGCGCTCCAGAAAGGCGGAAAACAGAAAACAGCCTTAGCAATTTCGGGTTTTCGAGCCAATTTCGTGATACTTGCGAGATACTTACGTTAATCATATTCAAACATTTCTCAGAAACAGTTGTGTTACAACAAAGTGGTGGCCGAGCAACACACAGAAGTAAACAAAGGTGTGTGTTTGTAGAGTATTTTACAACAGCTTCAAACGTGGCTCAGCCAATCAGAATCAAGGACCGCAACTCTCTGTTTTATAATGTTATTTAGTGCACAAGTCATTTTTGGTAAAAAAAAATAAATATATATATATTATTACAGTGATACAAAGTTGTGGCCTAAGAGTGAGTGAGTGAACGAATTAATAAGTTGTAGGAACAATCTAAAACAAGGGAACAAATTAATAAAACTTAGCCCAAATTAAGTCATTTGTGGCCACAATATCTGTTTGTTTGTTTTTCTCATGTGTGCAGAAAATACATTTCCTCACTTTGTCTTCATGAAGTCTCTAATACAAAAAATGTGAAAATATTTTATTTTAATGTGATTTCACCAGAAACTGCTAGTGTTTTAAAATAATGAAGGTATCCACCTTATTTTTCCCGCAAGAGCGGGCCATTTGTAAATTTAATGTGCGAGGCTTCGTTTTTACAATTCGTATACAGGATGTTGGAAGACCATACCAAATGGGAGCATTCGAGAGCGTACGCCTCTCGTACCCTGTCCGCATTGAGCGGGCCTGAGACAATCGGGAAGTCAGCTCATGGCCTGCAAGGAAGTCCCCGCTGGCAGGTACAAACAAGGTATATGTCAGAGTTAGGAGACAACATTCTTCGGCTTTCTTTCCTTGTAATTCCTTATTTTCTGGTACCCATTTAGCAGTACTGTACCTGTTAATTTTTACAGTTAAAAATGGCAAGAAACAGCCAAAAGCCAGCTGTTACATTACTGCCAAAAGTCTCTATGTTACCACTACTGTAAAGCACTTCAGGGTGCTGTGAAACTTTAGAGAAAAACAAAAATTAAGCAACGTACATTACAAAAAAAAGTGTTTACAAATGGTGATTTAGAGACGCGTCGGCGTGAGCAACGCGCCAACATACCTGCACGTTTCCCGTTAATACGGCTTGTAACTGTTTTGATGGCCGCCTCGCCTCGGGGATTTGCCGTAGCCGCTCTGCTGATCTAGAGTTAGGAGCACAAAACACAAACAACGCAGACATCTACGGTTAAACGTGCTGGCACACGGGCGCTCCAGAAAGGCGGAAAACAGAAAACAGCCTTAGCAATTTCGGGTTTTCGAGCCAATTTCGTGATACTTGCGAGATACTTACGTTAATCATATTCAAACATTTTTTCAAAATACTGTATTGTGAAAATGTGGTGAGAGACACAGATCTGTGGCGTGAATGAATGTTTGAAAACTGTTTATTATTTTCTAAAAACGACCGCCGTCCGGCGGTCATTTCTTGCATGGCCTACAGATTTACATGTCCAATGGATTCAAAGGCACTTTGACAGATGTGTTTTGAAGCTAAGACATCCCTTTCTATATTTAGCACCATAGTTATTATAATACATATGTACAGAATAGCTTTGTGCAAGCAAGCCTTCCCTGTAAGACAAAAAGCAACCGCAGCAGTGTTCTAGAGATTTCTCTCGAAGCGTAAGGCATGTATGATACAAGCATGTGCATTCTGCTCAGATAATTTAGTGCACAACTGTCATAGTCCGGGTCGAGTACCGACAATCCACGATACAATATATCCTTAGTTTTTTCATCTGTGCGTTCACAAACAGTATTACATACTGCTGTAGTCACCATATCCGTAGTAGTTGTTGTAACCCGAGTAATCATAGCCCCCGTATCCACCATAGCCTTGATTGTTGTAGCCATAGTTCCCGTAATTTCCATAACCTTGATTCCAGTAATTTCCGTATCCCTGGTTCCAGTTCTGATTGGGACCTGCAACAGACGCCGAACGCACATCACATTAATAACAGCTGCTGGGATGCTGCAAAACATGTATAGCAGCACGAATATAGACTGAAACAAAAACAAAACTATCAGATTCTGAATGAATGAACATAAAATTAAAATGCAGCGAAATGTGAAGGGATTACAGCGGTTTTGGGTTGAGACGCACCTCCTCTCCCTCTGGCTCTGCTGACGTATCCTCCTCTTGCGCCCCACTGCTGCTGCTGCTGCTGGTACTGCTCCTTGGACATGGCCACCTTGACCTCGCACTGCAGACACACGGACAGATTACCATCACAGACAGATTTAACAGAAGAAACTGACTGCAGTAAATCAGGATTTGTGGGATCAAAACTTCCTGTGGTTTCATATAAAAAGAGAAAATAATCTTAAATCTTTTATGTCATAAGTATTTAATTCACTGCAGTCTCCAAAAATATGCATTTCCACTAAAGCAACAAGCCCCGTGAAGCGGTGCTTTACAGTGAATTTATAACAGCTCTTAGCTGTTATAAATTCACTGTAAACCACGGCTTCACGGGGATTATTGCTTTTATAAAACGGTTATTCCATATACGTCGTAAGGTTTAACAAAATAAAACGGAGCAAATAAAGTGTAATGATAATAATAACAGTATTCTTCCGGCTAACAATGTAGTTCCTCAGAAACAGTTGTGTTACAACAAAGTGGTGGCCGAGCAACACACAGAAGTAAACAAAGGTGTGTGTTTGTAGAGTATTTTACAACAGCTTCAAACGTGGCTCAGCCAATCAGAATCAAGGACCGCAACTCTCTGTTTTATAATGTTATTTAGTGCACAAGTCATTTTTGGTAAAAAAAAATAAATATATATATATTATTACAGTGATACAAAGTTGTGGCCTAAGAGTGAGTGAGTGAACGAATTAATAAGTTGTAGGAACAATCTAAAACAAGGGAACAAATTAATAAAACTTAGCCCAAATTAAGTCATTTGTGGCCACAATATCTGTTTGTTTTTCTCATGTGTGCAGAAAATACATTTCCTCACTTTGTCTTCATGAAGTCTCTAATACAAAAAATGTGAAAATATTTTATTTTAATGTGATTTCACCAGAAACTGCTAGTGTTTTAAAATAATGAAGGTATCCACCTTATTTTTCCCGCAAGAGCGGGCCATTTGTAAATTTAATGTGCGAGGCTTCTGGTCTCATCCGCTTCCAGCTATTTTTAGCTGTACAAAACCGCTCATTTTGCTGCGTGATATTGCAAACTAGTGTGTCTTACCATTTTAATGTATTACCTTAATTATGAACACACTGGTTTGTAGTGCACAGTTTTACAGTTTACTGCACTTTGATATTCTTCTCGTTATACAGCGGCTGATGAACCAGAAGTCTCGCACATTCACAGAAAGCAGCTTACTTCCACGTTGAAGAATAAGGTGGATATAGAACGTTTATGATGTGCAGGATCATGCACATTAGGACGTTATAAAACTGTACCTTGCTTAAACCGATGTTGTGGTACTTCTTCTCCATAATTTTCTTTACTGGTTCCTCCTCTTTAAATGTTATAAAACAAAAACCTCGTCTTTTATTTGTTTTATTCTCCATCGGCAGCTCAATGGATTCCACCTGAGGAAAGTATAGAAATGTAAATCATGTGGTGTTTTGTCACATATATACATATATATATATATATGTGTGTGATCCTGGAGCACAAAACCAGTCATAAGGGTCAATTTCTCGAAATTGAGATTTATACATCAGCTGAAAGCTGAATAAATAAGCTTTCCATTGATGTATGGTTTGTTAGGATCGGACAATATTTGGCTGACATACAACTATGTGAAAATCTGGAATCTGAGGGTCCAAAAAAATTCTAAATATTGAGAAAATCATCTTTAAAGTTGTCTAAATGAAGTTCTTAGCAATGCATATTACTAATCAAAAATTAAGTTGATATATTTACAGTAGGAAATTTACAAAATATCTTCATGGAACATGATCTTTACTTAATATCCTAATGATTTTTGGCATAAAAGAAAAATTTATAATTTTGACCCATACAGTGTATTTTTGGCTATTGCTATATAATACCCCAGCAACTTAACACTGCTTTTGTGCTCCAGGGTCACATATTACAAACGTCTATCAATTGTCCACTACCTCTCCGCAGGCGTCAAAGTACTCTCTGATCTTCTCCTCTGGAGTATCTGGGGAAAGACCTCCTACAAATATCTTCTTCACCGGCTCTTTGGACTTCATGGCCTTCGCTTTCTTAGGGTCGATGGCTTTTCCATTCAGTTTGTGCTCCTTCTGTGAGATCACCTTTGACCAGGAACAGACACACATCGAGGCTGGAGTTAATCAAGCTCTCTTCAGCATAACAGCAGCAGAACTCAAATGGCACGCTGGTTTCAAAATACCTTTTCCACACTCTCAGCATCTTTAAACAGAACAAACCCAAAGCCCCTGGACCGGCCCGTCAGAGGATCCAGTTTCAAGGTGCAGTCCACCACCTCTCCAAATTTACTGAAGTAATCTTTCAGGTCTTTCTTTGTTGTGTCCCAGCTCAAGCCTCCGACGAACATTTTCCTGAAAACAAAAAGACTGATGTGAAAACAGATTGTGGGGGAAGACAAAGGATTTCAGCCGAGATAAATCACTCTATGTACTTGCCAAAAGACGAGTGATTACAGTAGTGTTAAAGGGGTCATATGATGCGGTTTCAAGTTTTCCTTTCTCTTTGGAGTGTTACAAGCTGATTGTGCATAGATAAGATCCCTGAAGTTGCAAAGACTAAAGTCTCAAATCCAAAGAGATATTCAAAACTAATGACATTATTTACTGTCTTTACATTTATTTTGAAAGATGAAGCTCGCGATTATGGTAAGGGGCGTTACATTTCCGACGAGTGCTTGCGGTGTTCGGCCAATCACAATGCACTGGGTCAGCTGGCCAATCAGAGCAGACTGCGCTTGTCGGAAGGAGGGGCTTTGTAGAAAACGAAGCGTTTGAGAGAGGCGGGGCATAGAGGACCTACAATAATGTACAGTATTTGAAAAATAATGCGTTTTTTTAACATTAAAGCATGTTAACATATTCTGTTACACCAAATACACAAAATAATGATCTTTAAAAAAGCATCATATGACCCCTTTAAAACTACATGTTGACGTCAACATGAAACATTAGCATGTTACTTGTTGGTCTTTTCGCGTTGGTCTAAATGAAAATCCACTAGGTGCAGCTTTTGGAGCGGTAATAATAGCGGTGTCCCCAGTAACGGCTGTACACAAAGCAGCACTGCGCTCACAAACACTGCTTTCTCAGGCATTACAGGGCAAGATTAAACTAAACCGAGACCAATCACCGCAGACTAGCGTCATGCAGAGGAGGGGTTTGAGTGTTGAGCGAATCGTTTGGGAGTCGTTGAGCAAGTAAGGTAAAAATAAATGCATATAAGACAATGAAAGTGTTTTTGACCTTGCATGCATGACAACCTGTTGTTGGGCACTCCCAAAACCAAAATAGGAACCTTTCATAACCCATAATAGGGGCACTTTAAACCTTTATAAGACCAATGAAAGGAATAAATTAAAGGGAATATGTCAATGTGTTCCCTCAATGTAAAAGGAGAACACACTGAGATGTATTAGCAGCATCATTTACAACCAATCTCCATTCATTTTTAATTAATTATACAAAAAAATAATACAAAAGCCTGACTACTAGAACATGGAAATATCTTTTACTGTCCTTCTCGGTATTATAGTCTTGTTTTTCAATGCTCATGTCTAAAAATGCTTAAAACAAGTTGGAAAAAAGGTTTTCTGGGTAACGTAACAAAATGAAGTGAATGTATGATTTACAAAGAGGACAGATACCTTCCTGTAGGCTCGGAGAACAGTTGTTATGCCCCACTCACAGATGTCTGCTCTCGTTTTAAACATAAACCCCCACAAAACACACAAAAAGCAAGCTTGCATTTCAAACGTATCTTGATTTAACAATGTTTAGGAGCTCGTATCGGAAAACAAGACCAAAATACTGTTCATTCTTGCAGTGCATGGAACATTTAATGCCACGACTTCATGACCTGAAGTATTTTTGCTCTAATTTAAGACATGAGGCCTTCATTTGTCTAAGAGAGAGGCAAGACTTTTGAGACCTTCCGAGATTAGAAAGATTCAAGACTCGCTTTCACACCACGTTTAGTCATTACTTTAAGCTAAAACCACCAGCATTAACTACTCCATCCACTGAGATATTCTCGTCGGAAGAACACGATGTTGACATTTGACAAGCTAGCATTTGAAAGGCAAATGTGTTTGGAAACAGCTCGGCCTCATGAATATTCACAAGGTCTTCCGTACTCACGTTCGTTATTTACAGTCCGTCCCTTAAACATGTGCTCCATACTGATAAACACACACCGAGAAGATGTGTTTACTTGTTTGAGCGAAACTCGTTACGCGGAGTCGAATAGCTTGGGGTAACGTTAAGTTTATCGCTCAGTGTCGGGAAACCAAGCCTAACTTCAGGCTGATCTCGTTTATCTGCGGTAGAGGGGCCGAGACTCACCCCTCGTCCTCCTCGTTTTTACTGGCGTCTATCTTGGAGCCCTCCGCCTCTCGGTGTCCGCCGTCCTCGGCGCCCGGGATCTCCTCCTCTCCGTCGGTCTGCTCCATCTTCATCAGCGCCTCCTCGCCCACACTCTGCTCCTCCGACATCTCGGATCAACTCTCGGCGAAAACACGGGCTGCTCGCGTCGTCTATCCTGAGGGAAGCGTCGTAGGCTAAAACTCGACCGGACTGGACCGAAACCGTGCGGAATTAGGCTCGGGGTCGCGGTTGTTTCGGTCTGCTTTCAGAATGTCGATGGCAACGGCGTCCATTCACAAAATGGCGGCGCAACGGAAGCAGAGCGTCATGACGTCACCGCGCCTTTAGAAACCCACGACGCCACGCTGACGCTGACGCTCACACATGTTTACACCCAAGAGCAGGTTAGGCCTTACACACTACAAGAAAAAGGTACTCAAAGAAAATGAAAGGAACACAGAACAACAAATTCTTTTTTTCCCCCAATTTTTAATCCCTTTATCCAAAAACCTTCAGGAAAAGAACTAAAATACAAAATAAAGGACATTTTTTTGTTTTCTATTCAAGACTTAAGAACACATCAGCACAAAACCTACAGGTTCAATCTGAACAAAGCACGGAATGAGACAAACTTGGAAACAAAACGCCTCGCTATTTACAAGGTTTAGACACTGAATAACGTTTTTTAGTAGTTGTTTAAGGACAGGAATCCACAAGCTGCCTCCGAGGAGCAATGTCGAAGTCAGCCTGCCCACCTACAAGAGAAGATACGCAAGATGAACCACTCGATTTGGACAGGTTTTCAAAAAAATAAACAACAGCACGTCCATGTTTCAGTGTTTAACTTCTTGAGCTGTCGATTTTAAACTAGGAAAACCATCATTAAAGATTAAAGATCATATGGATTGTCAAAACAGCTGGTAAGCCAGCAAAAGCTTCAGACCAATCGAGGAGCGAGCCAAACGTCTTCCCCTTTAAACTGAAGACTGTCATTTGCATTTAGCCCAATGGGAGAGTTGGTTTCATCGGTCTAACACAGATTTGTCAGCTTTCAATGGCTTGGTAAACCCACTTCACATATGATCTTTAAAGGCTACGCTTTAGGAAAAGCCTCGAGGTGAACCCATTTGAAGTTCTCTATGGCCTCTAAAGAAAAAGCAAGCATTATGAGAGAGTTTATGCAATTATTTATACAAGGGAGGTGTGACTGAAACCAAAGAAATCAAAAGAATAAATCACTGAAGCTCCACAACTGAAGAGCACTACAATTGAAAAAGAGAATACAACAGCAAAGCGGTTATGAATCACTTTTAGGTTACGTTAACAAAGTCCTGGAAAAAAACACATTTGGAACTGTTAACGAAAACCAACAACTTAAGGAAAATGGGGGAATCTCCTTTTGTCTTTTTGTTTGTTTTACGCTGGTACAGGAAGTTTGAAGAGACCATACCACAGGACAGCGCTTTCTCGTGCATGCCGTGCTCTCTGCCCGCTATGTGCGACGCCCAGAGAATGTGGCGGTCAGGTGACACACGGCCTGCAATGGTTAAAAAAAAAAAAAAAAAAAAAGAGCAGTGCTGTGTTTTTATGTTGCTAGGCAACCACCAAATCAGCTGTCTGTCAGTGTAATGAAAGGATTATAGTGCTCGCGGTCTAAAATCTTTGGTTTTTGCTGTTAAGTAAACTGTCATATTAGCAGAAACCTTAAAAAATACAGCTACAGACACCAAAAGTTTCTCCTCCATCATTGCAGACTCCGGACTTTCTAAGCAACGGTAATCTTTCGTCCTCACAACGGTAGGCCCGCCTCTCCGTTCATTCGCTTGGACAATGGAAAAAACCACGAATGGCGCTTTTCAGGCAAAACACACGTTCTGTGTGATCGGGGCCTAATGGTGTGTTCACACCAGACGCAAATGTAATTATTCGCGTGAGTAGATTACATACAAAGACGCGAATAGAGGCGAATTCCCGTCGGGTGCCGCGAATAATGCAAAATGCACAACACGTTTGGCTTTCCATTGTATTTGGGACTTTTTGACAACAGGTACAAAACAGCGATTGTATTAATCTCCACCACGGCTGATCGCGCTGTTTTTATTCGCGCGAGTGACACGAAAAACATCCCGCGAGTGATCTAGCGCGCGAGTGATCTAGCGCGCGAGTGATCTAGAGCGAGTGATCTAGCGCGAGAGTGATCTAGCGCGCGAGTGATCTAGAGCGAGTGATCTAGAGCGAGTGATCTAGCGCGCGAGTGATCTAGAGCGAGTGATCTAGAGCGAGTGATCTAGCGCGCGAGTGATCTAGCGCGAGTGATCTAGCGCGAGTGATGCGATGCGCATATTCGCTTCGCGTCTGGTGTGAACGCACCATTACTCACATGTAGGCTTGGGCAAAGTATTGTTATAAACCGGAGAGTTCCGGTGCTTGATTCTGATTGGCTGAGCCGCGTTCGAAGCTGTTGTAAATTACTCTACAAACACACACCTTTGTTTACTTCTGTGTGTTGCTCTGCCACCTCTTTGTTGTAACACAGCTGTTTCTGAGGAACTACATTGTTTGGTGGAAGAATACTGTTTTTATTATCATTACACTTTATTTGCTCCGTTTTATTTTGTTAAACCTTACTACATATATGGAATAACCGTTTTATAACAGCAATAAGCCCCGTGAAGCCGTGGTTTACAGTGAATTTATAACAGCTAAGGTGCGTTGTTAGTGCCTAAAACCCCCTTAGCTGTTATAAATTCACTGTAAACCACGGCTTCACGGGGCTTATTGCTGTTATAAAACGGTTATTCCATATATGTAGTAAGGTTTAACAAAATAAAACGGAGCAAATAAAGTGTAATGATAATAAAAACAGTATTCTTCCACCAAACAATGTAGTTCCTCAGAAACAGCTGTGTTACAACAAAGAGGTGGCAGAGCAACACACAGAAGTAAACAAAGGTGTGTGTTTGTAGAGTAATTTACAACAGCTTCGAACGCGGCTCAGCCAATCAGAATCAAGCACCGGAACGCTCCGCTTTATAATAAAAAAATTTAAATGGTATTTGTAAAGAAAAATGTAAGTACAAATGCTACTGTTGTAATGAAAACTGTTCTGTTTCCAGTGTCCATGCCTAGTATATTATGTATGCTTTGACATAATTGTGTCACTAATATAATCTTTGGTTTTTCATCATCATATGATGTCCGTTATGTTGAGCAGACGTGTAGCTGTGGCCGAGGGACGTTCTGCATCCACGTGCTCTTCGTCATGCTCAGAGTCTTCCAGCTGGAGCCGTCGGACCCTCTGCTGTGGAGGAAGACCCTCAAGAACTTTGAGGTGAGGGGACTGTAATACAAGCAGAGCACAACGAGCTCCGTGCCATCGCTCAAGCTCAGCGCACACTGATGGTCTGATCTCATTCAGGTGGAGAGCTTGTTTCAGAAGTACCACAATCGCCGCAGCTCGCGCATCAAAGCTCCCTCACGCAGCACCATCCAGAAGTTTGTGTCTCGCATGTCCAGCTCTCACACGACATGTACCTCCAGCGCCTCCCCATCCAGCAACGAAAGCAGGTCTGTGAAGCTCCAGAGACCCTCTTATCTGCTTGAACTGTGTGATTTCAGGCTATGCTGACTGACTCTGGATCAGATCAGTGTTTCTCAACTGGTGGGTCGCAAGGCCATTCTGAGTGGGTCGCGGAGAGTACAGTCAAAGAAATAACATCAACAACAAAAAAACATAATTCTTAATGTTTTTCTGATG